TTGAGGGACCTCCCTGTCGCCATGGCTTCACCACAGCGACCCCGAGGGCGTACACCGCCAGGCACCAAGAAGGAGAAGGGCAGCGGCTCCGGCGTCAAGACGCCGCCAGCGCACGCTTACGCCGAGCCGTTTCTCCACCGCCGATCACGCACGCTGACGACGACGTCGATCATCGCGACCGGGATGCACGCCGTCCATGGGAAGTCGTCGTCGAGCGCATCATCCGGAGGGCGCGCGGCTCGACAGAATCGCCGCACTCACAAGGACCAACTACCATGAGTGGTCACTGCGCATGCAACTAAAGATGCAGGCGCGCCACCTGTGGGACGCCGTCGAGTACGACGACGTCGACTTCGACGATGACCGCAGCGCGCTCGACGCGATCTGCAGCGCCGTCCCGGCGGAGATGGTGCCGACGCTCGCGACCAAGGCAACCGCCAAGGACGCTTGGGAGGCCATCAAGATACTTCGCATCGGCGACGACCGCGTGCGAAAGGCAATGGCACAGAACCTCCGCGCTGAGTACGAGGCGATCGCGCTCCGCGACAACGAGGTGATCGAAGACTTCGCGCTCCGACTGACCGACATCGTCCAGCGGCTGGCAACCCTCGGCGATCCCGAGCCGAACGAGAAGGTCGTGGCGAAATACCTGCGCGTCGTCCGCCCAAGGTACAAGCAGCTCGTCATCTCCATCGAAACCCTTCTTGACATTTCCCAGCTCTCGATCGAGGAGGTCACCGGTAGGCTGAAGGCGGTGGACAACATCGAGCCCACGCCGCCCCAAGCTGCCGGTGGCAAGCTGCTGCTCACGGAGGAGTAGTGGCTGGAGAAGTACAAGAAGCAGGACTCCGTCCGTGAAGGCTCGAGCTCCGGTGGCCAGGGCAAGCGCCGCGGCAAGCCGCGCGGTCGTGGCGGCAGCAACAGCAGCGACGCACGCAGCGGTGCTGGTTTGGGTCTGCGGCCGGCCCGGACGACGTGTGCAAGCCTGTGGCAAAGAAGGCCATTGGGCCAAGAACTGCCGTGGAAAATTAAAGGTGGAGGAACAGGCCCATGTGGCCCAAGACGAGGAGCACATGCTGATGTTTGCCTACGGGGCCGAGGAGGAGTCTACGCCGTCCACTTTGCCCCTTCTTCCCCAAGCGTCGCCGCCGCACCCCAAGGAGGCGCCGCCGCCGCATCCCACGTAGACGGCCGGTGGAGATGCTGCCTCCCCGCATCAGCGCGAGCTCCTAGAGGCGAATCGAACGCCGCCGTCGCTCCTCAACACCGCCGACGCTGCGGATGCCACCCCAACGTCGTGCTAGCTCGAGCTCCTGGAGGCCAAGGTGTTCGCCACCTTCGACGCTGCAGATGATCGGGACCCAAAACGCTGGGTCCTAGACACGGGGGCCACAAATCACATGACCGGCTCCTGTGGCGCCTTCTCCGAGCTCGACACCGGCATCTTCGGTACGGTCCGCTTCGACGACGGCTCCGTCGTCAAGATCGAGGGCTACGGCACCATCCTCTTCGCCTGCAAGAACGGAGAGCACCGCACCCTCACCAACACGTACTTCATCCCTTGCCTGACCACGAACATCATCAGTGTTGGCCAGCTCGACGAGGTGGGGTTCCAGGTGCTCGTGGAGGGAGGAGTGATGCAGATCCGTGACGAGGAACGTCGCCTGCTCGCTAAGGTACAACGGAGCCCAAGCCGGCTCTATGTGCTCGACGTCAACATTGCACGACCGGTGTGCTTGGCTGCGCACGCCATGGAGGACGCATGGCTGTGGCACGCCCGATTTGGGCATGTCAACTTCGGCGCACTGAGGAAGATGGGGCGCTAGGAGCTCATCCGCGGGATGCCCCTGCTGGACCACGTCGACCAAGTCTATGACACGTGCCTCGCCGGCAAGCACCGGCGGACGCCGTTCCCGCAGCGTGCGCTCTCACGGTCAACTGAGGTGCTGCAGCTGCTGCACGGGGACTTGTGTGGTCCCATCACGCCACCAACGCCCAGCGGCAACCGCTACTTCCTTCTCCTCATCGACGACTGCTCGCGGTACATGTGGATCGCGCTGCTGCCTTCGAAGGACGTCGCGGCTGTGGCCATCAAGCGCATCCAGGCAGCGGCGGAGCGCAAGACCGGGAAGCTAGTTCGTGCACTCCGCACGGACCGAGGAGGAGAGTTCCTAGCACAGGACTTTGAGGACTACTGCGCCGAGCTGGGTCTGTGTCGCGGGCTCACGGCGCCGTATTCCCCTCGGCAAAATGGCATCGTCGAGCGACGCAATCAGTCCGTGGTGAGCACTTTGCCGGAGTATCTTTGAAGGCAAAGAGACCTCCCCGGCGTGTTACGGGAGAGCGGCACCACCATACCGTCTACACCGCTCAACCGCGTCGTCCAAGAGCATCAGTGGCAAGACCTCGTACCAGCTCTGGACTGGCAGCACCCCTGGCATCCAGCATCTGCGCACCTTCGGCTGCATCGCCCACATGAAGATCACGGCGCCGAACCAGAAGAAACTCGACGACCGCAGCCGGCGCACCATTTTCGTTGGGTACGAGGCAGCTTCCAAGGCGTACCGCGTCTTTGATCCAAGGACGCGGCGTGTGCACATTAGCCGCGACATCGTGTTCGACGAAGCGGCCAACTGGAACTAGAATGGGGAGCTAGACGGTGCCGAGCCGGGCTTCACGATCGAGCTGGAGTCTAGTGAGCAGGCACCAGCAAGCACTGTCATCTCCACCACCTCCATGATGACGTCCTCCCCAGGCTCCACCTTGACGTCACCTGCACCGATGACTTCCCCAGCAACGCACGGCGTCGGGCTGATGTCGCCCACCACTCCAGCACATGCTGCAGGAGGAGCGGTGGAATTTGTGTCACCACCAGAGGGCGAGGTGGACCTGGATGCTAACCATGATGATGATGCACCGCTCCGGTTCCGTCGGCTGGACAACGTGCTGGGCTCTTCATCAGCTCCTGGCCCAGCACATCGGTAGCTAGAGGAGCACCTGCTCCTGGCCAGCGATGTCGAGCCATCCAGCTTTGCTGAGGTGCAGGAGCATGAGTGCTGGCGCCACGCCATGCTCGATGAGATGACGGTGATCGAGGCGAACGGTACATGGGAGCTCGTCGACCCTCCGCCACGTTCCTGACCCATTGGGCTCAAATGGGTCTACAAGGCGAAGAAAGACATAGCCGGGATCATCTCCAAGTACAAAGCCCGGCTGGTCGCAAAAGGCTACATGCAGCAGCAAGGCGTCGACTTCGACGAGGTGTTCACGCCTGTGGCACGTCTGGAGTCAGTGCGGCTTCTCCTTGCGCACGCCGCGAATGAGGGTTGGGTTGTCCACCACATGGATGTAAAATTAGCCTTCCTCAACGGTGAGCTGCAGGAGGAGGTCTACATCGAGCAAAGGGCAAGAAGGCAAGGTGCTGCTTCTTGTCAAGGCGTTGTACGGGCTTCGTCAAGCTCCCCGCGCCTGGTATGCGAAGCTGGACAGCTCGCTGCTCAGGCTTGGCTTCCGGCGTAGCGACTCCGAGCATGCTGTGTACCTGCGCGGCGAGGGCGCACGCCGCCTCATCGTGGGCATGTACGTCGACGACCTTGTGATCACCGGCGGCAGCATGGGCAACATCGACAAGTTCAAGTCGCAGATGAAGGGCACATTCCAGATGAGTGATCTGGGGCTGCTACACTACTACCTCGGCCTGGAGGTGACTCAGTCGGCCGACGGCATCACCTTGGGCCAGAGCGCGTACGCAGCGAAGATTCTCCAGAACGCCGGGCGGGCTGGTTGCAACCCCAGTCACATTCCCATGGAGCCACGCCTCAAGCTAAGCAAGGCAAGCACAGCGCCCGCCGTCGACGCCACAACGTACAGGAGCATCGTCGGTTCGCTGTGGTACTTGGTGAACACAAGGCTAGACTTGGCCTTCTCGGTGGGCTATGTGAGCTGGTTTATGGAGAAACCGACCACTGAGCACCTGGCAGCTATGAAAAGGGTGCTGAGATACATCTCCGGCACTCTAGACTACGGCTGCTACTACACAAGGAAGGAGAAGGACGCGCATCTCGTGGACTTCAGCGACAGTGATCATGCCGGGGACATCGACACCCGCAGGAGCACTTCCGGCGTCCTCTACTTCCTCGGCAACAATGTCATCATCTGGTAGAGCCAAAAGCAGAGGGTCGTGGCCCTGTCCTCATGAGAGGCTGAGTACATCGTAGGGACTACTGCTGCCTGTCAGGGTGTGTGGCGGACGCGCCTCCTGTCTGAGCTGAAGGGCAAGAGGGAAGGCGCTGTGAAGATCTACATCGATAGTGAGTCTGCCATCCAGCTAAGTAAAAACCCTGTCTTTCATGATCGCAGCAAGCATATAGATACAAGATACCACTACATTCGTGAGTGCATCGAGGAAGGCAGGGTGTGTGTTGCCTCTATTGGCACCTCTGATCAGCTAGCAGATATCTTGACGAAGGCACTGGCGCGGGAACGCTTCTGTGAACTTCGAGCCAAGCTTGGCCTCGTCAAATTCAAGTAGATGCACATGGCTTAGGAGGAGATTTGTTAGTTAAGCCATGTGCTTTAGCTGTAAATAGATAGGCACTGCATGTTTATGTTTCTGTTTGCATGTGCACGAGCACTGAGCTGTGGTTGTCGTGCACGTAGGAGGTAGTGGCCGTGAGAATAGCTCCTGCACACACCTGGGCGATCGATGATGGATGCATGCCGCAGACGTGGGGATGGACGCATCGTGCACGCGGTGTGCGGCCAACCATCGAGAGCTTTGCTTCTTGTAATCCACAATAAAAGGAGAAATAGAGATCAGAAAACGCCGTGGTTTTTTGGGCAGCACCAAACTCTGTGTGTTCACTGCTTTCTTTGAGTTCGTGTGTATACTGATCGTCTTCTTGCTTGTGTGCGTGAGCTCGCCAGCGTCGTCCACCGTCGCCCCGGGCCTGACAGAGCATGGCGGCGAACGCCGAGAGCGCCTGGAGCGGGCGCGCGTGCTACGCCGCGCCCGAGATGAAGGCCATGTAGGACACCACGGTGGGGCTGGGGTCCGCGGCCAGCGCCGCGGCGGCCGCGCCCGGGAGGTCAAGCTTGGAGTAGAGGTTGACGAGGTGCGCGCAGATGAAAGGCGGGAGGGCCGGGGCCAGCAGCCTGAGAGCGCGCGCGTGGGCCGCTCGGCCGAGCCGCGGCGACCGGGAGGCGATCGCCGCCTCAACCGCGCCCGCCAGGAGCTGCGGGTTGGCCGCCACGGCGGCGGCGGCGGCGCGACGCATTTGGCGCTGGGGGCCTGGCGCTGGAGCTTGCCTTGCCTGTCCGGCAAACGTGTCTCCGCATACGTGGAGGTGGAGGTGGAGGTGGAGTTGGGCCGCCACGGTCTTTTGGGTCCACAGACCTATACGGAGCCGTTTCCCATTCCGTTACGTTAACCTTCTAATCGGCTGTACAAAAGCCGATAGTGAACTAATCGGTAAACCAGAAGCCGATAGGTTCCAATCGGCATTTTTTTGACAACAAACAACTTTATTATCATAAGCAAATAGCTGTTAGGATCCTTACAGAGTTCAAGGCTACAGATTGGAGTGCCTCTGGCAGAGAGCACTGAATATGAGCTGCATTAGAGCAGTTACATGATAAGCCTGATGAAACAGGTGATTGCGATTCTAAGAGAGCTTGCCTAGTTAGGATATCAGCCGTCTGATTGTGATATCTCTGTATCCTGTGAATTCTCATATCTCTTTGGTCTGTGAAATTGGAGAAGGTTTGAGTGAAGTATTTGATCCTCCACTCCGGTGAATTAACTTGGTCGAGGCCATTTAGGAAGTGCACCAGACGCTGGTTGTCGGAGAGGAAGGTGACCTGCTGCAAACCAAGAGAATTAGTAACAAGTGCCGACGGCCATTGCCCATATGTGCCCAGGCATCATCCACGTGACCCTTTATTTGTGCCGATAGGCATGTCGGCATTCGAAGGGCCGATAGTTTTTTTTAATACTTTTTGTAAACTAATTTTAAATCTAACACTGTTTTAATTTTTTCCCCTAAACTAACACTTTTGGCCGCGCCTATTGCCATGGCGTGGCGAAAAGCTTGTGCCACGCCATGCATGGTGGCGCGGCGAGAGGGGTGACGTGGCGACGACCGGGCCACTGACCGGTGACGTGGCAGGGTCTACCGCGCCACCGATCTTGGCGCGATAGCAATGCGCCACGGCGCATGGTGTGGCAGGACCAGAGAAATATCGCCCGCGTGCCGCCCTCCCTCCCTCCCTCCTGCCCGCGAGCCGCCCGCCCTCCCTCCTGCCTGCCCTCCGCGCCCGCCGCGCTGGCACGCCACCCGCCACGCCTGCCGCCGCCGCGCCTGTCGCGCCACGCACGCCGGCGCGCCCGCATGTGCCCGCACGGGCCGGCCGCGCCACGGCCTCCCGCCGCGCCCTTACGCCAGCGCGCCACCCCCGCCGCGCCCTCCGGCCACACACGGCGGCTGCCCGCTGCGCCACGGACGCCCTCACCGCAGTTCAACCCTCGTTGAGGTGAATTTATCTTACATTGTATTATTATTTATATACTTTAGCCGTTAATTTATCTTACATTGTATTATTATTTATATACTTTAATTGTTAATTTTCTTACATTGTGTTATTAATTATAGCGAAAACAAATGTCTAATTAAAAGACACGTGAAATATAAATCTATTTATGTGTTTTTTGTGCACTACACATACATACATATAGCGACAAATTTGGTTGGTTGAGTTTTTACGATTTAAATTGTTATATGCTTGTTTTCTTACATGGAAACAATAATCCAAATGATCATTTTACTCAAGCATATATTGAAAGCACTAGAACCTCCAAAATCATGCACAACATTGTCGATATCGTACTGCTATCAGCATACACAAATCGTAAAATTTAGTAACCAAGGAGGTAAAATTGTGACTAAGTATTTTTAGACAACCTATATTTTTAGACATATTAGTATAGAGTGGAGGACTAAGTATGACACACATGATAGTTATCATTCAATTCATCTTATACTGTATTTTTAGACATATTAGTATAGAGTACAGGACTAAGTATGACACACATGATAGTTCTTAATCAATTCATCTTATACTGGGCTACTCATCCCTAGGTTAAAATTATAATGAGCTGCTCTAGCAGATGCAGACAAGCTATTATAATAATTTAATAAGAAACACCGGTGGACAGCAGGTCCATACATAGAAGTTGCTTATTTTTCTAGTGAAGTTGTTTAATATGTCTGTTAATGATGCTTTGAATATATACATGTGCTTTCATATTGTGTTCCTATTGCATAACAAGTAGTTCAAATTTTGCAATGCTACATAATGTTGATTTGAATATTGTTAATTTGAATACTCTAACCCTTTGTTTATCAATTTGTAATAGGATGGCCCCTCCCACGCAGCACCCGTTGTACCCCCTTCATGAGGTAGAGTACGACGAACCGCACCGAGCACACATCTTGAGTGACACCGACGCAGAGGTGGCCTTGCCTCCTTTGAGGCCCACACGCATACCAGGGCGCACCAGTGGGACGAGCGTTACACGCCGTACATACGGTATGCCGGCTTCCTTCAGCTTGTCCGTGTTGTCAACTACGGTCTTCCGCCCCTTGATCCAGCACTACTTACTGCAGCTGTAGACAGGTGCGAGTGTCTTCATTGTACGTAAACATTCTTATAACAAATTTGAGGCAACTAACAGTCGTTCTATTCTTATAACAGGTGGAGGCCTGAGACCCACACGTTCCACCTACCTTGCGACGAGATGACCTTGACCATGCAGGACGTGAAGGCTATCTTTGGCCTTCGGTTGGGGGACTTCCAGTGACATGTATAGTTGACAACGATCACTGAAGGGAGCTGGTGGCTTAGTTCACTGGCTTTCTTTCATCGGACGACGAGGCTGCCAAGAAAAATAAGTGAGCAATTCAAGCCTATTTAATACTTGCATTGCTTTCCTGCAGTCATCGGGTCTCATTTTCTTTGGTGAATTTCAAGAAAAGTTCCGGTGTTTCGTCGTCATGGATCACAGAGCGCTTTGATTACTTGGACCCACAGGCTGATGAGGCTCAGATCGATAGGTTCGCTAGAGTGTGGCTCTGGCACTTCCTTGGTGCTTTCCTCTTCCCAAACGCCTCGGGCAACACCATCAGCTGGATTTTCCTTGACATACTACGCCAGCCGTGGGAAAACATAGCGGCGTACAGTTGGGGCAGCACAATCCTGGCATGGACGTATCGGTAGCTATGCATTGCCTGCCGGCGCACCTCAGGGTATGCGAACTTTGGGGGTTGCTCCAACCTACTCCAGGTTTGGTGTTGGAAACGATGGCCCGTTGGGAGGCCCCTTGCTACTGGTTTACCGGTAAGTACTTCGGTTCACTATATTCTTCGAGGCAGTTACATATAATTAAATTATTAATGGCTAATTCATTATCGTGTTCAATGCAGCATTGGAACGGACAGGATACACTCCCTATAGCTCTGTATATCTGGACGCAAGCAGAGTTAGTTAGAGTGAATGCGAGGCGCAAGTACAGGGAGTAGACGGACGGTCTCGATGTCCTGACACAGCACCAGGTTACGCTCTCTTTACTATCATACATGTGTCTTGTTCGATATACACTATATCACAACCTAACTCAATTATGAAATGTTTAGGTGCATTGGTGTCCTTGGGATGCTCTGGAGCTCGAGTACTATCTGAGTCCTGTCACTAGGGATGAGTCAGACGAGTATCGCTGCAACGTCCCTCTTATTTTCTTCCACGTGGTCGAGATTCACTTGCCCATCAGGGTTTGCAGACAGTTTGGAAGAATGACAGGCTACCCACCACCGCTTTACTCCACCAACCAAGAATTGCACGGGTGCATTATCGATTAATAACAAAGCTACAATTCAGATGTGTGTATGGTACAACTAACAATCGTTTTGTTGCAGGTATGATCGTAGAAAGAGGTACAAGACCAAGGATTGGTGCGTGACACACAACGCGCACATCTAGTTGTGGCAGAACAGGGACCGGTAGCCGGTCGATGCGGGTCTCCCACACGACCAGCACACCTTCGAGGAGTACCTACGGTGGCTTCACAGGTCTACGAGGACACATATCAAGTCTCATACACTGAGGAGGCAATTGACGAGGACGACGAGGAAGATGTGATCGAAGATGTGTACGACATTGCCACTAGAGACGACACACAACTATAGAGAGCCCCGTTTCAAAGATACGTGGTAAGATACTCGAATGATACAATTTGTTATCCATTTGGTATTAAGTATATTTACTAAAACTGTCCAACCGTGTTTCTCTACTCAGGCGACACAATTGTCAAGGATGTCCAACGAAGCAATGTTTCGGCTTCATGAGTCTAGAGGACAGGGGCCAGGCGTTCTTGAGGCTTTTGTGGAGGTAAACATAAACTTGTCTGTTCCAAAAATGTTTCTTTATTGTATATGCATTTGGGAAATACACTAACCTTAACATCTATTTATGCAGAAGGTGAAGCGGAGCTGCAGGAAGCTAGCTTAGAAGCTGAGCTGCATGGACACTCCTTGGGTGGAACCAGCAATCCCGATGCGGTCGGGTGGCACGTCTTCTGGCTCTTTGAGGACACCAGCCGGCTCTTCTCAGTCGGTGACAGGTGCCACTTCCGCAGTGCGTACACCACCACATCATAGCGCTAGGAAGGACCTTGCCACCGAGGACGACGATGACGACAACGACCCCCTAGGCTTCTACAGATAGCACCACCAGTGGGACGATTGGCCGTAGAACAAGATCGGCATGTGTCAGCTAGGTGGTGCCCCGTTTGGTACCCAAGGAGCCTCACAGGTACTAACAAAGATAGTTTCTTTAAATACGTAGGCTCATGAACTAACGATCATAAAGATTATAAGTAATCGTGCATATCATATACTTGCAGGGTACGAGCCGTACGCACCAGCAACGCGACCACACCGACGTTGGCTACACTCCCAATGTGTTGCCTATAAATCTGAAGAGACAGAGGCGTCCGAGGGATCCTTACACTCCTGGGACTTAGTTGGTTATGTCGAACTTATGTGGAACAAATATTGTCTTCGAAACTTATGTCGAACAAATGTTATGTCCAAAACTTATGTCGTCCAAAACTTGGTTATGTTGAACAAATGTCGAACTTATGTCCGAAACTTGTCAACTTGCGCACGACTCCTTTTATTTGCTTCATATTCGTTTCAATGCGTCGCGGCAGCACTGCCGACGAGATTAACTAGCAACTAGTTCGGGAACCGGTAGTCCCGACGTGTCTCACTGCAGGTGGCCGGCGTGTTGACCCCGATCCTCCCGAGCTTGGTCATCGCCACCACGGAATCACCGAAGAAGGCACCCTGGTTGGACGCGTAGTAGTCGACTGTGCTGCACGACCTCATGTCGGAGTAGAGCACATGGTAGAAGGCGTTGTGGAAGCTCACCGGCGAGGGGTTGAGGAAGGCGAAGGCGTTGCAATCAAAGCTGTAGGTGCCATTCAGCTGCGACGCGAAGCCGGGGTCCATGGTCGCGTCACTGCCGATCCTCACCGACAGCAGCTCCCGTTCATTGCAATTGAGGTTGGTCGTCTGTCTGCGTCCAGGTCCTGCCGCGCCATGCGCCATGGCGCGTCAGTGCCGCGCCAAGATCGGTGGCGCGGCAGACCCTGCCACGTCACCGGTCAGCGGCTCGGTCGTCGCCACATCACCCCTCCCGCCGCGCCACCAAGCATGACGCGGCACAGGCTTTTCGCCGCGCCATGACAATAGGCGCGGCCAAAAGTGTTAGTTTTGGAAAAAAAAAATTAAACAGTGTTACATTTAAAATTAGTTTACAAAAAATGTTAAAAATAAAAAAAACCAGAGAGTATTAGTAAATGAAACACATGCACATAGTATTTGAGTTGATTAACTTCCTGCTTGCAAGGGCCATTTAGATTGCCGATACGTGCCCAGGCATCATCCATGTGAGGGTCATCCCAAGCATAGGCATATCGGCAATTTAGGGGCCGATAGGTCCCCACGTCAGAAATCTAGCGCCATCACCTGGAAGCAAGCACGCAACATCACCCGGAAGCAAGCACGCAGGGATTTCTTTTTTTATTTGATCAGCTTTTTACTGATTTATTTAGATCCAAAAATTAGTATATACTTTAGGTTACATATTTTGATACGTAGGTACTATTTACGTAGTTAGAAGATGTAGGCTCTAGTTAGTTACTTAGGAAAATTAGTTTATTTGTTTTGTTTTTACATTGTGTTACGTGTTGCGTCTGTTCTGCACCCGTTCTTTCCTTTTGCCGGTTATTTTTATTTCTGTCACCCATCCGTTTTTACTTTTTTTCATTTTTTCTTATACTAGCAAAACATGTTCATATGTTGTAATAGAACTCAAAGTTATTATGCAACCAGCGGCACAAGCCTGGCAGCACGGCAGAGCCGTGCACAAGCACAGCGGTTATGACTAGACGGCTTGAACCTGTGGTACGGCGGCCAAGGTAGCACACGCGTGCGGTGTCACCAGCCCCGACCAAGCAGTCTAGGCTAATTGCATGGCGACGACCATGGGGACCTGATCAGCAACGTAAGGCGACACGGTGGGGGTGGCACGGTGCCCCGTGCAAGCACGGCTTTTGTGGTGGCTCATGGGGCACGACTCCTGCGGTGATGTGGACTTGGCCCGACAGACGCAGTTGAGCGAGCGAGCAATCTTGACTGTGCCTAGCAATCGAAAAAACAACAAAAGAACCATATAAAGAAAGACACAAATGGAAGCGAAAAAGAAAAAGAAACAAACAAACGCGGTGATTGCCCGTGAATGACTCCTGTGGTGCTGTGGACATAGCCCGACAGCCGCAGTGGAGTGAGTGAGCAACCTTAACGGTGCCCTTAGCGATCGAAAAAAGTGGTGCTCTATCTGATTGCCCACTGTTTTGGAGTTGATCGTTGGATTCGGCATATGGACTACACTCTGGCTTCGGTGTTCGACAATGCTTTTTTCATCTAGAGCAACGACTGCATTGAGGAAAACCACTACGAAAGAAGACGATGGAGGAATCTGAATAGAATATTGTACCTTGTTTATTTTAGTTTTTTCTTGTGTAATTTTGGGATGTACTATGTTGAATTTTTAATATAATTCCCTCTTACCTTAAAAAATGATGCAAGATGCAAATAAAATAGGTTGTGCCTGATATTTAGCATCTATTACAATATCTTTTGAGATCTTTAGATATTTTGTTTTGGGTAGGTTGAAAGAAATATTAAAATCTAATAGTAAAGAAACATGATCAACAAAACAGATTCTAAAAGGAGTTAAATGCATCAGAGATCCATTAATTTGTGAGAATGTTTCAGTTACATCCATCAACTTTCAAAGTGGCTTTTTGGGTTCATAAACTTTGTATGCCGTATCACTTTAGTTCATATCTCTCCACGTGGGCTTTTTATACTGATATGGCTGCTGACTTGTCCATTAAAGCAACTATTGACCCTTCATCTCAGTTAAACATGTCGTGGCGCGGCGAGCGGCGCCGCCGCCGCCATCGCTGGCGCAAGAAAAGCAGGCCCGCCATGCCACGCTGGCGGCGAGGTACAGGCGCCGAGGCGGTGGGCGGACGAGTGGGCGCAGCGCATGCCGAGACTACGAGTGCCGCGCCTCGCCGGGGCGGCGGTGCGCGAGAAACCCATTATTCCGGAAAAGCGGCGGCGTCGTGGGTATCGCCGCGTTGCTTTCGAGGACGCGGACGCCATGCCGCGTCTTTGTTGGGCGTGCCAAAACAACGACTTTTTTAGCTGCGGTGGGGCGAAGCACACCGCGCTGGACGCTTTCACGGCACGCTACCGCGTGGACCAACGCCAAGGACGGCCGCCTCGGGCTACGCGTGCGCCGCCACGACCGCACACTCGTGCTGTGGCCCTACTTGCAGCACCTCGAGTCCGTCGCCGATGAGATGGAGTCCCACTGCCGCGAGCTGCGGCTCTACAACAACGCCACCGGCGATTGTGCGCCGCGGTGGACGTCAGCGCCCTTCACCCACCCGGCCACGCTCGACACGATGGCCATGGACCCGGACCTCAAGGCCCGCGTCGCGCCGACTGAGAGCTTCCTCAAGGGCAACAGCGCGTACTACCACCGCCTCGGCGCATCTGGCGCGCAGAGCTACTGCTCTCGGCGCTCCCGGCACGGGCAAGTCCACGTTCGCCGCCCGCGATGGCGAGGGTTCTGAGATACGACATCTACGACATCGACCTGTCCCGCGACGGCTACGACGACCTCCGCGCCCTGCTTCTGGACACCACCCCGCGGTCGCTCATCCTCGTGGAGGACCTCGATTGCTACCTGCGCGGCGGCAGCGGCAGCGGCGATGGCGAGACGACGGCGACGAGGACTGCGCGTGTGCTCAGCTTCATGGACGGGCTCTCCTCGTGCTGCGGCGAGGAGCGTGTGATGGTGTTCACCATGAGCGGAGGCAAGGATGATGCGTACGAACCCAGAGCAGGGGCTCGAGCGCATGCGGGCTCGACGGACGCCGCGCCAGAGCCAGACTCGAGTGCACGAGGGCGGGGATGCCCAGGAGGAGGATGGCGGCGCTCGTGCGTGATGCCGGTTCAGCGCCGCACGTCGCGGCCACCGGCGCCAGCAAACCCACGGCAGCGGAGTGCGGATGCTCAGGCGGTCGACGTCGACGCGGGTGACTGAGGCATCGAAGATCGTGGACAGTGGCCGCCCTCCCTTGCCGGCCTCACGCGGCAGGGCCACCGGCAACGGGTGCGAGGCGGCGTGCGTCCCCAGCCGCGGGACGCGAAGACAAAGTAAAAAGCTATGAAATGAGAACACAATGAAATTAACAGGGAAACCTAATTAATGATGAATAGGAGGATCGGATCAGAGGAAGTGTAAGGAGTCCTGCAGATGGATCGATCAATGGATCATGCGACGGCTGGCATGTCCTTGAGCCAATCGTCGAGCGGCTTGCCGATGGCGTAGACGATGAACCCGATCTCTCGGAGCTTGGCTGGGTCGACGATGTTGCGGCCGTTGAAGATGAATGCCGGCTTGTGCATGGAGTCGAACATGCGCTTATAGTCGAGCGTCCTGAACTCGTCCCACTCGGTGAGGATGCAGACGGCGTGCGCGTCGCTCGCCGCCTCGTAGGCGTCCGGCGCAATGGCGACTTGCTTGGCCAAGTCAGTGGCGCTGAGCGGCTGCAGGTGGCGCGGGTGGTCCCAGTCGAACTTGTTCATGGCGAGGTGCCGAGGTCCCGCGACACCTGCTCCTTAGTCACCTGCGGGTCGTAGATGCTGATGACGGCCTTGTCCCCAAGCAGGCCGTTGCAGACGTCGATGGCGGGCGTCTCGCGGGTGTCCCCCGTGTCCTTCTTGAAGGCGAACCTGAGCACGACTATCTTCTTGCCAGCGACGGTGTTGAACATGGAGGAGATGACGCGGTTGACAAAGCGGCTCTTCTGGTGGTCGTTGATCCGGATGACCTCCCGCCAGTAGGCGGCCACCTCGGGGAGGCCGTAGCACTCGCAGATGTAGACGAGGTCAAGGATGTCCTTATGGAAGCAGGAGCCGCCGAAGCCGACGCTGGCGGAGAGGAAGCGCGGGCCGATGCGGGCGTCCCTCCCCACGGAGTGCGCCACCTCGGTGACGTCGGTGCCCGTGGCCTCGCAGAGCGCGGAGATGGCATTGACGGAGGAGATGCGCTGCGCCAGGAAGGCGTTGGCGGCAAGCTTGGATAGCTCGGCGGACCACAGGTTGGTGGTGATGATGCGGTCCGGCGGAACCCACTGCGGCAGCGTGACTGCACCAGCACGGGCAGCCGGCCGCTCGCACGCCCGTGTGGCCGTGGCAGAGGCACCTACTCACGCGCCCACGACATGTTTAACGAAATGAAGGGTCAACAGTTGCTTTAATGGACAAGTCAGCAGCCACATCAGCATAAAAAGTCCATGTGGAGAGATATGGATCTAAGTGATAGGCATACAAAGTTTATGGACCTAAAAAGCCATTTTGTAAATTGATGGACCTAACTGAAACCTCCTCATAAATTAATGGATCTCTGGTGCATTTAACTCTTCTAAAAGGGACGTGGCTTGTAGGTTGTGGGTGCAGTCGGTCTCCCAACGCCCGATAGACCCATCGGCTGGCCAACTGCCGATTTCACCTATCGGCTCCCAGATTGCCGATGTCCCTTTAGTCGGCTAACTGATTGCCGACACGACTCTACACTGTCATTTTTGCATGTCACGTAGACTGTCGGCAATTGACTGGCCGATAGAATACTAGTTTTACAATTTTACTAAAATAATACCTATATCTGCAATTATTTATTAAAATAATATTGTTTGGAAAAAGTCTCTTTTCCCCTTCATTCACCGCTCAAAGCTGTTCGCGTCCTCGACGCAGAGAAGCTTATCTCCAATCTCCTTGGCCACCAGTCCGGCTATTGGCTCGCATGGCGGTAGCTCTGGTGAACATGCACGAGGGCGGCAGGACGGTTGCGGTAGCTCCGGCGGAGATACGCGCCGAGTGCGACGTCTCCATGTGTGTCACTCTCAGTTGCTAATTCCACATGATCTTCACATGTCAAATAATCGGAGCGCATGTGTTTCAAACACATATTTTACAAGAACCAGCTCAATGATACAGAAAAATCGTTGGATTTGAAAAGTAAAATGTGCTATGGTGAAATAAAATCTCGTTAGTGCCTTTCTAGGCTTCCTTCCTGATAATATAACAGCCTGCTGGTTCCATTAAAAAAAATCTCTATCAACAGACACGTCGCGTATCACTAAAAGAGCGAGACACTTTACCTTTCACTAAAAAAATAGCATTGTTAAATCATGAAACAAATCAAATAAATGCGAACGGCCGTACCAAATCAAAGACTTAAAATTAGGTGGACAAATTCCACAGGAAGAAACCTAATCAGCTCCGGTTTGCAAAACCCCTGCTATATACACGAGGAGTGTCCAAGTGTGTGCTCTCTTCAGGGTTGAGAGAGTACACTCTCCTACATGCCCAACGCCTCAACCACGGCTAAGACCGGCGGCTTTCCTAACTGCACCGCACGGTTCGCGCCAAAATGCAGCATGCCTGGCATTGGCAGACTGTACGATTAGTACTAGTAAATTCTCTTCCAATTCGTTAATCCATAGTATTCTGACGGACGTTCCAAACTCATGACCAGCGTTGATACACAAATAAACAAACCTCCTATTTTTTTGGTAGTAGTACATATGTATGTTTTTCTCTTCAAAAAATCACTCACAGCAGGTCGCAACACAGGGGCGCAGGGGAGAAAGAAAAAAGAACACTAGCAGTACGTAGCAACTCTGAGAGCAATTGCCGGCCACTGCGTCGATCGATTGATCGAGAGAGAGAGCTCAAAGCAGGTTCGTCAGTTCATCATGAGTTGAGTCGAGTACTTCAGTTCTTGACGAACTGGAGGCCGTTGGCCTGGGAGTATCGCTCCATGAAGCGGTCCCAGTCCCGGGGCGTGCGCATGACGTACTTGGCCTCTTTACGCGCCGGCTTGCCGTTGACAAACTTGGCGCTGACGTCCACGGACAGCAGCACGCCCTCGTCGTCGATCATGTAGAGGCCCGTGATGTCCCAGAGCTCCGCCGACGACTCGAACACCGACGCCTGCTCCAACGTGAAGATGGCCACGCCGTTGCTGTCGTCCCGGGACTTGGTCAGCCGCACGTCAGGGATCGTCTGCTCGTCCGTGCCCTAGATGAACTGGATCGCCTGAGCGTCATCAACGTGATGGTTATTTGTGCCGATCCACATGTCGGCATTCCAGAGGCCGATAGGTCCTCGCCTCAAGTCAGAAATCTAGCGCCATCACCAGGAAGCAAGCACGCAGGTATTTCTTTTTTTTATATGATCAGCTTTTTACTGATTTATTTAGATCCAAAAATTAGTATATACTTTAGGTTACATATTTTTATACGTAGGTACTATTTACGTATACAACACAAAAGAACCAGAGAGTATTAGTAAATGAAACACATACACATAGTATTTGAGTTGATTAACTTCCTGCTTGCGAGGGCCATTTAGATTGCCGATACGTGCCCAGACATCATCCACGTGAGCAGGCATGTCGGCATTCCAGGGGCCGACAGGTCCTTGCGTCACCTCAGAAGGCGTCGTCCACGTGGCCGATGTCGGTATTCCAGAGGCCGATAGGTCCCCAGGTAATTTTTTTTATTTCATCAGCTTTTTACTGATTTATTTAGATCCAAAAATTAGTATATACTTTAGGTTACATATTTTGACACGTAGGTACTATTTACGTAGTTAGAAGATGTAGGCTCTAGTTAGTTACTTAGGAAAATTAGGTTATTTGTTTTGTTTTTACATTATCTTACGTGTTGCGTCCGTTCTGCACCCGTTCTTCCCTTTTGCCGGTTTTTTATTTCTGTCACCCATCCGTTTTTACTTTTTTCATTTTTTCTTATACTAGCAAAACATGTTCATATGTTGTAATAGAACTACAAGTTATTATGCAACTAGCGACACAAGCCAGGCAGAGCCGTGCACAAGCACAGAGGTTATGACGAGACGGCTTGAACCGGCGTTACGGCGGCCAAGGTAGCACGCGCGTGCGGTGTCACCAGCCACGACCAGGCAGTCTAGGCTAATTGCGTGGCGACGACCATGGGGACCTGATCAGCAACGTAAGGCAACACGGTGGGGTGGCACGGTGCCTCGTGCAAGCACAACTTTTGTGGTGGTTCATGGGGCACGACTCCTGCGGTGATGTGGACATGGCCCGACAGACGCAGTTGAGCGAGTGAGCAATCTTGACTGTGCCTAGCAATCAGAAAAAACAAAAGAACCATATAAAGAAAGACACAAATGGAAGCGGAAAAGAAAAAGAAAAAAAAAACACGGTGATTGTCCGTGAATGACTCCTGCGGTGCTGTGGACATAGCCCGACAGCCGCACTGGAGTGAGTGAGCAACCTTAACAGTGCCCTTAGCGATCGAAAAGAGTGGTGCTTTATCTGATTGTCCACTGTTTTGGAGTTGATCGTTGAATTCGGCATATGGACTACACTCTGGCTTCGGTGTCCGACAATGTTTTTTCATCTAGAGCAACGACTGCATCGAGGAAAACCACTACGAAAGAAGAAAATGGAGGAATCTGAATAGAATAGTGTACCTTGTTTATTTTAGTTTTTTCTTGTGTAATTTTGGGATGTACTATGTTGAATTTTAATATAATTCCCTCTTACCTTAAAAAAATGATGTGAGATGCAAATAAAATAGGTTGTGCCTGATATTTAGCATCTATTACAATATCTTTTGAGATCTTTAGATATTTTGTTTTGGGTAGGTTGAAAGAAATATTAAAATCTAATAGTAAAGAAACATAATCAACAAAACAGATTCTAAAAAGGACGTGGCTTGTAGGGTGTGGGTGCAGTCAGTCTCCCAACGCCCGATATACCCATCGGCTGGCCAACTGCCGATTTCACCTATCGGCTCCCAGATTGCCGATGTCCCTTTAGTCGGCTAACCGATTGCCGACAGGACTCTGCATTGTCATTTTTGCATGTCACGTAGACTGTCGGCAATTGACTGGCCGATAGGATACTAGTTTTGCAATTTTACTAAAATAATACATATATCTGCAATTATTTATTAAAATAATATTATTTGGAAAAAAAGTCTCTTTCCCCTTCATTCACCGCTCAAAGCTGTTCGCGTCCTCGACGCAGAGAAGCTTATCTCCAATCTCCTTGGCCACCAGTCTGGCTATTGGCTCACATGGCGATAGCTCTGGCGGACATGCACGAGGGCGGCAGGGCGGTTGCGGTAGCTCTGGCGGAGATACGTGCCGAGTGCGACGTCTCCGTGTGTGTCACTCTCAGTTGCTAATTCCACATGATCTCCACATGTCAAATAATCGGAGCGCATGTGTTTCAAACACAGATTTTACAAGAACCAACTCAATGATATAGAAAAAACGTTGGATTTGAAAAGTAAAATGTGCTATGGTGAAATAAAATCACGCTAGTGCCTTTCTAGGCTTCCTTCCTGGTAATATAACAGCCTGCTGGATCCATAAAAATAATCTCTATCGACAGACACGTCGCGTACCACTAAAAGAACGAGACACTTTATCTTTCACTAAAAAATAGCATTGTTAAATCATGAAACAAATCAAATAAATGAGAACGGCCGTACCAAATCAAAGACTTAAAATTAGGTGGACAAATTCCACAGGAAGAAACCTAATCAGCTCCGGTTTGCAAAACCCCTGCTATATATACGAGTAGTGTCCAGGTGTGTGCTCTCTTCAGGGTTGAGAGAGTACACTCTCCTACATGCCCAACGCCCCAACCACGGCTAAGACCGGCGGCTTTCCTAACTGCACCGCACGGTTCGCGCCAAAATGCAGCATGCCTGGCATTGGCAGACTGTACGACTAGTACTAGTAAATTCTCTTCCAATTCGTTAATCCAAAGCATTCTGACGGACGTTCCAAACTCATGACCAGCGTTGATACACAAATAAACAAACCTCCCATTTTTTTTGGTAGTAGTACATATGTATGTTTTTCTCTTAAAAAATCACTCACGGCAGGTCGCAACACAGGGGCGCAGGGGAGAAAGAAAAAAGAACACTAGCAGTACGTAGCAACTCTGAGAGCAATTGCCGGCCACTGCGTCGATCGATCGAGAGAGAGAGCTCAAAGCAGGTTCGTCAGCTCATCATGAGTTGAGTCGAGTACTTCAGTTCTTGACGAACTGGAGGCCGGTGGCCTGGGAGTATCGCTCCATGAAGCGGTCCCAGTCCCGGGGGCGTGCGCATGACGTACTTGGCCTCGATACGCGCCGGCTTGCCGTTGACAAACTTGGCGCTGACGTCCACGGACTGCATCACGCCCTCGTTGTCGATCATGTAGAGGCCCGTGATGTCCCGAGCTCCGCCGACGAGTCGAACACCGACGGCTGCTCGAACATGAAGCTGGCCACGCCGTTGCTGCCGTCCCGGGACTTGGTCAGCCGCACGTCAGGGATCGTCTGCTCGTCCGTGCCCCGGATGAACTGGATCGCCTGAGCGTCATCAACGTGATGGTTATTTGTGCCGATAGGCATGTCGGCATTCCAGGGGCCGATAGGACAGGTATTTCTTTTCTTTACATGATCAGCTTTTTACTAATTTATTTAGATCCAAAAATTAGTATATACTTTAGGTTACATATTTTTATACGTAGATACTATTTACTTATACAGTACAAAAGAACCCGAGAGTAATAGTAAATGAAACACATGCACATAGTATTTAAGTTGATTAACTTCCTGCTTGCAAGGGCCATTTAGATTGCCGATACGTGCCCAGGCATCATCGACGTGGGTGTTATCCTAGGCATAGGCATGTCGGCATTCCAGGGGCCGACAGGTCAGAAAGGCAGTCCAGGGGCCGACAGGTCAGAAAGCGGCGTCCACGTGCCTGTAATTTTTGCCGATACTCATGTCGGCATTCCAGGGGCCGACAGGTCCTTGCCCACCTCACATCAATGTGGCCGTTATTTTTGCCGATAGGCATGTCGGCATTCGAGGGGCCGATAGGTCCGTAGGTATTTTTGTTATTTGATCAGCTTTTTACTGATTTATTTAGATCCAAAAATTAGTATATACTTTATGTTACATATTTTGACACGTAGGTACTATTTACGTAGTTAGAAGATGTAGGCTCTAGTTAGTTACTTAGGAAAATTAGTTTATTTGTTGTGTTTTTACATTATCCTACGTGTTGCGTCCGTTCTGCACCTGTTCTTCCCTTTTGCCGGTTTTTTATTTCTGTCACCCATCCGTTTTTACTTTTTTCAGTTTTTCTTATACTAGCAAAACATGTTCATATGTTGTAATAGAACTACAAGTTATTATGCAACCAGTGACACAAGCCTGGCAGAGCCGTGCACAAGCACAGCGGTTATGACGAGACGGCTTGAACCGGCGGTACGACGGCCAAGGTAGCACGCGCGTGCGGTGTCACCAGCCACGACCAGGCAGTCTAGGCTAATTGCATGGCGACGACCATGGGGACCTGATCAGCAACGTAAGGCAACACGGTGGGGTGGCACGGTGCCTCGTGCAAGAGTGGCTTTTGTGGTGGTTCATGGGGCACGACTCCTGCGGTGATGTGGACATGGCCCGACAGACGCAGTTGAGCGAGTGAGCAATCTTGACTGTGCCTAGCAATTTAAAAAAACAAAGGAACCATATAAAGAAAGACACAAATGGAAGCGGAAAAGAAAAAGAAAAAAACAAACACGGTGATTGTCCGTGAATGACTCCTGCGGTGCTGTGGACATAGCCCGACAGCCGCAGTGGAGTGAGTGAGCAACCTTAACGGTGCCCTTAGCGATCGGAAAGAGTGGTGCTTTATCTGATTGTCCACTGTTTTGGAGTTGATCGTTGGATTCGGCATATGGACTACACTCTGGCTTCGGTGTCCGACAATGCTTTTTTCATCTAGAGCAACGACCGCATCGAGGAAAACCACTACGAAAGAAGACGATGGAGGAATCTGAATAGAATATTGTACCTTGTTTATTTTAGTTTTTTCTTGTGTAATTTTGGGATGTACTATGTTGAATTTTAATATAATTCCCTCTTACCTCAAAAAATGATGCGAGATGTAAATAAAATAGGTTGTGCCTAATATTTAGCATCTATTACAGTATCTTTTGAGATCTTTAGATATTTTGTTTTGGGTAGGTTGAAAGAAATATTAAAATCTAATACTAAAGAAACATGATCAACAAAACAGATTCTAAAAGGGACGTGGCTTGCAGGTTGTGGGTGCAGTCGGTCTCCCAACGCCCGATAGACCCATCGGCTGGCCAACTGCCGATTTCACCTATCGGCTCCCAGATTGCCGATGTCCCTTTAGTCGGCTAACTGATTGCCGACAGGACTCTGCACTGTCATTTTTGCATGTCACGTAGACTGTCGGCAATTGACTGGCCGATAGGATACTAGTTTTGCAATTTTACTAAAATAATACATATATCTGCAATTATTTATTAAAATAAAATTATTTGGAAAAAAAGTCATTTTTCCCCTTCATTCACCGCTCAAAGCTGTTCGCGTCCTCGACGCAGAGAAGCTTATCTCCAATCTCCTTGGCCACCAGTCCGGCTATTGGCTCGCATGCCGGTAGCTCTGGCGGACATGCCCTTGTGCGGCAGGACGGTTGCGGTAGCTCCGGCGGAGATACGCGCCGAGTGCGACGTCTCCGTGTGTGTCACTCTCAGTTGCTAATTCCACATGATCTCCACATGTCAAATAATCGGAGCGCATATGTTTCAAACACAGATTTTACAAGAACCAGCTCAATGATATAGAAGAAACGTTGGATTTGAAAAGTAAAATGTGCTATGGTGAAATAAAATGTCGTTAGTGCCTTTCCAGGCTTCCTTCCTGATAATTTAACAGCCTGCTGGTTCCACTAAAAAAATCTCTATCAACAGACACGTCGCGTACCACTAAAAGAGCGAGACACTTTACCATTCACTAAAAAATAGCATTGTTAAATCATGAAACAAATCAAATAAATGCGAAAGGCCGTACCAAATCAAAGACTTAAAATTAGGTGGACAAATTCCACAGGAAGAACCCTAGTCAGCTCCGATTTGCAAAACCCCTGCTATATATGCGAGGAGTGTCCAAGTGTGTGCTCTCTTCAGGGTTGAGAGAGTACACTCTCCTACATGCCCAACGCCCCAACCACAGCTAAGACCGGCGGCTTTCCTAACTGCACCGCACGGTTCGCGCCAAAATGCAGCATGCCTGCATTGGCAGACTGTACGATTAGTACTAGTAAATTCTCTTCCAATTCGTTAATCCAAAGTATTCTGACGGACGTTCCAAACTCCTGACCAGCGTTGATACACAAATAAACAAACCTCCCATTTTTTTTGGTAGTAGTACATATGTATGTTTTTCTCTTAAAAAAATCACTCACGGCAGGTCGCAACACAGGGGCGCAGGGGAGAAAGAAAAAAGAACACTAGCAGTACGTAGCAACTCTGAGAGCAATTGCCGGCCACTGCGTCGATTGATCGAGAGAGAGAGCTCAAAGCAGGTTCGTCAGCTCATCATGAGTTGAGTCGAGTACTTCAGTTCTTGACGAACTGGAGGCCGTTGGCCTGGGAGTATCGCTCCATGAAGCGGTCCCAGTCCCGGGGGCGTGCGCATGACGTACTTGGCCTCGATACGCGTCGGCTTGCCGTTAACAAACTTGGCGCTGACGCCCACGGACTGCAGCACGCCCTCGTCGTCGATCATGTAGAGGCCCGTGATGTCCCCGATCTCCGCCGACGAGTCGAACACCGACGGCTAATCGAACGTGAAGATGGCCACGCCGTTGCTGCCATCCCGGGACTTAGTCAGCCGCACATCAGGGAGACAGGGATCGTCTGCTCGTCCGTGCCCCGGATGAACTGGATCGCCTGAGCGTCATCAACGTGATGGTTATTTGTGCCGATAGGCATGTCGGCATTCCAGGGGCCGATAGGAGGTATTTCTTCTCTTTATATGATGAGCTTTTTACTAATTTATTTAGATCCAAAAATTAGTATATATTTTAGGTTACATATTTTTATACGTAGGTACTATTTACTTATACAGTACAAAAGAACCCGAGAATATTAGTAAATGAAACACATGCACATAGTATTTAAGTTATTAACTTCCTGCTTGCAAGGACCATTCAGATTGCACACATCTTGGGATAGGCATGTCGGCATTCCAGGGGCCGACAGGTCAGAGAGGCATTCCAGGGGCCGACAGGTCCGAAAATGGCGTCCACGTACCTGTAATTTGTGCCGATACGCATGTCGGCATTCCAGGGGCCGACAGGTCCTCGCCCACCTCACATCCACGTGGCCGTTATTTTTTCCGATAGGCATGTCGGCCTTCGAGGGGCCGATAGGTCCGCAGGTATTTTTGTTATTTGATCAGCTTTTTACTGATTTATTTATATCCAAATATTAGTATATACTTTAGGTTACATATTTTGACACGTAGGTACTATTTACGTAGTTAGAAGATGTAGGCTCTAGTTAGTTACTTAGGAAAATTAGTTTATTTGTTTTGTTTTTACATTATCCTACGTGTTGCGTCCGTTCTGCACCCGTTCTTCCCTTTTGTCGGTTTTTTATTTCTGTCACCCATCCGTTTTTACTTTTTTCAGTTTTTCTTATACTAGCAAAACATGTTCATATGTTGTAATAGAACTACAAGTTATTATGCAACCAGTGACACAAGCTTGGCAGAGCCGTGCACAAGCACAGCGGTTATGACGAGATGGCTTGAACCGGCGGTACGGCGGCCAAGGTAGCACACGTGTGCGGTGTCACCAGCCCCAACCACAGCTAAGACCGGCGGCTTTCCTAACTGCACCGCACGGTTCGCGCCAAAATGCAGCATGCCTGGCATTGGCAGACTGTACGATTAGTACTAGTAAATTCTATTCCAATTCGTTAATCCAAAGTATTCTGACGGACGTTCCAAACTCATGACCAGCGTTGATACACAAATAAACAAACCTCCCATTTTTTTGGTAGTAGTACATATGTATGTTTTTCTCTTAAAAAAATCACTCACAGCAGGTCGCAACACAGGGGCGCAGGGGAGAAAGAAAAAAGAACACTAGCAGTACGTAGCAACTCTGAGAGCAATTGCCGGCCACTGCGTCGATCGATCGAGAGAGAGAGCTCAAAGCAGGTTCGTCAGCTCATCATGAGTTGAGTCGAGTACTTCAGTTCTTGACGAACTGGAGGCCGTTGGCCTGGGAGTATCGCTCCATGAAGCGGTCCCAGTCCCGGGGGCGTGCGCATGACGTACTTGGCCTCGATACGCGCCGGCTTGCCGTTGACAAACTTGGCGCTGACGTCCACGGACTGCAGCACGCCCTCGTCGTCGATCATGTAGAGGCCCGTGATGTCCCCGAGCTCCGCCAACGAGTCGAACACCGACGGCTACTCGAACGTGAAGATGGCCACGCCGTTGCTGCCGTCCCGGGACTTGGTCAGCCGCACGTCAGGGATCGCCTTTTCGTCCGTGCCCCGGATGAACTGGATCGCCTG